TAACAATTCCTCATTCTATTAATTAACTGATCTGGAATGCACTTATTATTCAGGTAAATAAAGCCGTTTTTATGAGCCCCTTACTGGCTCATGCTACAAAATAGAGTAATGCTATTTTTATTTCGTCTAGCATCGTATTTCAGAGAGAGCAAAAGGTGAACTTGTATGCAAGCACTTCTCTCGGTGGCCGCAATAAAAATTATCCAAATCCCTTAAATGATGAAAAAAGAATAAAATTACTTTAAACCGACTCATAGCATATCTTATTGTTGAAGTTAATGAATGGTTTTCACCGCATATATCAAGCACCTTGAAGGGCAAGAAAACATTTATTTATATCAAATGGTAGGCGTTTGATAGTTATTGTTAGCCCTTTAGTTGACTTCAGGCTTCACCGAGGGAGGAGAACATCAAATCGAAAAAAAGTCGAGAGGGGGGGCAGAAGAGTGTTTCAAAGATGTAAGAGGCAAACACAAAGGTAGAAAAAAGATGAAGTGAGTACTGTGAAATAGTCGAATATGGCATGGAGTGAGGTGATGGTAGTTTGAAGTGAGAAGTCAACTGCCAGTTAATAGACTTTTTTGCAGTATGAATATACGTTGCCCAGGGTGCACCACGTGGAGGTACGTCTGTCGCACACCCCGGGCAAGAAAACATTAGACGGGAGATTGGATACCAATAACAAATAACACGAAGTAGAGACAGCATTTTGCACTCCCATAAACGTCCTAGATACTCAGAAAGTTCTCATTTATTTGAATGAAATATTATTTTTAGCAGATTGAGTACTTATAATGGGAACAAAGCGTATTTTCAAATATAGGCCTCACTAGGCCAAATGAAATACTGCTTAAGGCCTAAAGTTTTAACCACATTGGAGTGAAAATGGTAATAGACGAGTTTTGAACCGACTTATTATGCAGAATTCATAAAATTTACATATCAATACCCACTGCATAGTCATATCTAAAGTGCATAAATGTAATTTGGGTGGACTGAAAATCCGATTCTTGCGATTGTAATTCAAAGCATTCCCTTATCAACACTGAGCACCCATGCTGGATAAACTTGATAACATTACACTCAATAGTTGTGCACACATGAACGTTAAGTTAACACGGAAGAGCCTTATTTGTTTTGAAGCTCGGAAATTTAATATTTGATTGTTTTATATTATATTTCGTTGAGTGAATAACGGAAAACCACATAAGCATATGCTTGCCTCATTTCTGTTTAAACCGAAATTAATATACACGGGAAAAGTAATTTTACGCATTAGCCGTTAAATTTTAAAACCAGAAATGGTATATTTGATATTTAGGATGTTCATTTTTATTTTATATAAAATTTAACAAGGATTTTGCATTTATATCAGCTCGAAAATGCACAACTATTGCAATGGACAATAATCTAATTAGATCCTAATTCAACACCGCATAAGTTTTATAATACAGAGTCGTACAATTATAATTAAATTCAAATACATATTTTGGAAAGTAATTTGAGTTTGTTCCTTATTCGAACTTTCGTTTTTATTAATCGTGATTTTCCCGGTGTGTGCAAATTTCCTTCTTGCGGTTCAAGGTAAGTGGTAAATGTTTCATCTATTTCCTGGTTATGCTTTCTTTTACCTCATAAATAAATATCAGTTGCATTAGTCGTTCCTATTAACTAAAAATTCTAGTTGAATAATCGTTTTTAGACCTGTTTACGTACTATAGCATTTTGCAACAAAGCTGTTATAATCATTTGCTGAATTGTTGGATTTTGGTGTTGCCATTTAACTAGCAGATACATTTTATTATCACTCGTGTATTTTTTAAAAAAAGGTTTTAATTTCAGAACCGTATACTGGTAGTCAGTATCCATCATATGTGAATTTATCAAATATTTCAGTTCTTCCACTTTGCACACAGTCTTCGTTGATGTACTAAAAGGATAACTTACGCCATATTTTTAATGGATGAAAATTACTCTGGTCATAATTCGAGGCAAAGTCAGTTCTCGAAGTTTGTCGATGAAATTCCAACGGATGATCTAGTTGAAATTCCACTTTCCTCTGATGGAGAAAATGATGTTGATGAATTTTCAAATGACACTAAACACTCTCCAATCGATACTCAACCAATCTTTCCATCTAATTCTGCTTCTCAATCTGTAATTCAGGATTTTTTTGAGCCTCCATTTTCTCCATCCCTTATTAGCAACAAATCCAATAGTACACAATACTTCCAAGATTCTAATCATGATGATATTGATGATGACCTCAAATTCAGTGAAGATTTAGCGAATTCCATTCGCAATCAGTGTTCTCTATTCAGTCCTTCCCTTGTCCGAGCAATTAATTCGGATATAAAGGAAATTAAGCGTTCTCTGAATGCATCAAAGTGTGGTGAAAAGTTGCACAACAAGCCTAATCCGAACGTTGAACGTGATAGGCTCATTAAGTGCCATCGGCATGGACGGAATGGGGATCAGTGGAAGTCGCTCAATCCATCAAGGTAACGCCTCGGATTTTGCTTCTTCCTGTTTGAGCATGAGCATGTCGCCGCTGTCATTGTTATTGGCGTGAAAAAGCGATGCATGAATCGCTTTCGTTTATCCATTGGGAGTCGATATTTTCTAACTTCTCGAAAAGCGTTATTCTCTGTTTCCTTTTCATTCGCATGTGTGTTCCACTTCTGCTCTTCGTCTTTCCACCTATGGTTATAAAATGACGAATTTTTCCATCTCTTTTAGTAAATCATTTTACGTGAAACGAGGTTTGAACCAGACTAAAGCGAAGATGATCAAATCAAATGGTATGTTTTCTGGTGTATTAAGACAAATGTGCTTATTTATTTTTTTCCCTGTTCGTTCAACCGGACGTACGAAATGAGTAGATATTATCATAATCGCTTTACCAGATAATCGTATATTTAAGCAAACTTCATAGTGCTAATCAATACTATGTTGTTTCTGAACTTTACTTTTGCCATTCCTAATTAATTAACATAATCAACGCTTAACATTTATTGTGTCGGTAAGTAGATAGGTGTACTATCGAAATTTCTCTGTGAGTGGGTTGTTGAATTCGTTTTTTGCGTCCAAAATATTAAAGTTTTTACTCTTTGACTTAAAAATATACTTAACAAAGTCTTAATTTGTTCTGGATTTAGCATTTTTCTTTTTCGGGCTTTTATTTTAATTCGGTCACTTTTATGGTGATGGAAACTACATCATTATAGGAGTGAAAATGACAGCATTTGAAGTTGTTAATATACTTATTAATTTTTTCCGACTTCCTTTTAGTTCTTAACTCAGTCGTATTATCTGGGTATTAGTTAATAATGGACAAGGGAATTGATTTTTTCCGTTGGTTAAATTGTTTAGAATAATTGAAATATCAATAGCTTTCTTCTTGCTGATTTATCAGTTGGATTCTCTTCTTTAATTTTCGAATTTTTCCTCCTTTCAAGTAATCAATTTGACAACATAGGTGTTTACCTACTAGAGGAAGATGTATTATAGAGAGCCGCGAAATCAACCAAGCATTCTTTTTTGTATCTAATACTTGGGTTGAATGATTTCTTGATCTTGCGTGTTCTTGTTTTGTATTGAATGCCTATTAGGAGACTCGCCGATGTTGAATAATCCCTTCTTGTTAGCTGTTTAGGGTATTTATCAATTCTTTTTTACCATTTAGGAAACAAGAAGGAAGAGATGACTGTTCGTCAGTGGAATTTCACCGCTCCCTCAAATGCCGTCTACAGCACGAGTTCAGAGAGTGAAGGCGCCAATAGCACCAGCGGCAGCACTCCTACCAACTCAGATCCTGAAGCATCACCTAGGATCTCCAATTCCCCGGTTAGTAAAATGTCTTCTCGTGATCAGATGCAGGAAGAGGAAGAGGAGGATGGTCAGTGGTCTCTTCAAAGACGTCCACCTTGTCCACCCAAGAATCAATCCAGTCGACCTCTCAGTGTGGAAAGCGGAAGTGACGTCGTTAGTGCAGGTGCTGGTCGCAGCAATAACACTAATTCTACCTCCAAGTCACTCCGGTCTCAAAGAACCAAAAAGCCACAGTCGAACTTAGAACCGGGTATATTGCTTAGCCTCTTATGCTTTTTCTGGGTTGTATATTTGTATAATTCAAATTTCATATGGTAGTCTACCACAATCAATCGAAGTTGAACAAGATCAGGAAAAAGCATTAAGTGGATTGGTGGAGAAGTGACTAGTACGCATAGCAACCATTCTCTTTGTTAGTTGCCGTGTCACAATTTTATTCCTGCTATTATTGAAAGGTCAATGACAGCACAAAGGCTTTCTATCGGCTTGATATCAGTGCTAGATTAGGCGGCGTTATAATTGAGTACCATTTTTGCCGAACGTGGAAAGTCCTGAAGTTCAAGCTACAAATTTAATTTCTGAAATTATCCACTTCGTCCCCCCCCCCTTCCATTTTGGCCTAGATTTAAATCTGATTTAACCCTGGAAACCTCGATTTATGGACAGATGGTTGTTTACGATTCGCTGTTAATCCTACGCTATTTTCTTTATAAATGACCACTTTAAGTGACAATTCATTTGTTTTGCCTACATTCGTGAGTTTTTCACTGAATCACAGCGACCACCACTTATTTAAGTACAAAATTCTTAAGATGGTTCTTCATTATAATTTTGCTGGTTTCTGCTCTTTTTTTTCACACGAGCAGAGCAGGAGCATACTTTTGACAGTTCTATTTTTAAGAAATTCGTGTTTATTCTCTCCTATCCTTGAGCGATTTTGATCATTGTGGTTGTTTGTGCCAGGTGATCTTTTTTCTTATCCATACTTCCAGAACTAATTTAATTAGGAAGTTAATTCTCTATCCTTTGTGGCGTAGTACTGAAATAGCTTGGTTAATTAAAGTGTCTGTCCGCTTTTCGTGGAGTCAAAATGGACCCGAATCGTTTTTCCCTAATTCCAAGCCAATTGGCTAAAGGATTAGTTTATATTGGTTCGGAAATCCTACTTTCGTAATACGAACACTTCCAGAATAAATAATGATATACGTAGTTGTAATTTATTCAAATTTTCGTGTGGTGCATTAGCATAAGCTGCAATGGTGAAATAGCATATAATTTCGGTTTGTCTAGGATGCGAATCTTTTCCAACCAAAAAGACTCTTATAGATTTGCAAATCCAGTTTGAAAATCTATTGCTCTTGTGGTAGCTTCGAACAGTAATGAATATTTATTTATATCAAATGGCAGGCTTTATGATAGTTATCATTAGCCCTTTAGTTGACTTCAGGCTTCACAGAGGGGAGGGTGAACAGAAGTGTTTTAAAGATGTAAAAGACACAGACACAAAGGCAGAGAAAAAGATGAGGTGAGCACTGTGGAAGAAGTCGACAATGACATACAGTGGGGTGATGGTAGTTTGAAGTGAGAAGTCAACTGCCGGTTTAAAGACTTTTTTGCCGCATGAGTATACGTTGCCCAGGGTGCACCACGTGGAGATAAGTCTATCGCACACCCCACAGTAATGAATATAATTTATAATCGTGATCCATGAGCTCGATAATATCTAAGCTATCTAGCGCAGTTTGTTTTCTACCAAATTTATGACTACTCTGTCTAGATCTGTCAGCATCGATAGACTAGCTGTTTTCGTCGCCCACAGTAACCTAATGAGTGTTAGTAGAGCCGTTTTACTCTAATCTCATAAACCCTTTAAAATATAGCCGTGCGAATTACTTTAAAGACGGTGAGTCATGTCTAAATTTCGCTGTGGCACTCAAACAGTTCTCCGCAAAATGACGCTTAACACGCTAATTTCTCCATTCAACCGTCAATCATACGGTTTTAATTTTACACT